TATATATATGTATATATATGTTTTTCACTCGTAATACGCATGTAATTGCTCATAGTTAATACGCTACTGAAACTTTAATCCAAATTTTAAGAAAGTCGGAAATGCTCTCTAAGGAAGAAACGAATAACTGTGAGCTCTTAGCCACCATTGCAAATGCACTAGGCTAGGATCTGTGTCTGTTGGGGCAACCTAACTTCCTTAGGCCTATGATAGCGTTTTATAGATCTCTTTGTACATACAGGACATAACTGTATAACGACGTTCCCCCCTCTATTTTTATATAGGCGTTATCTTCCTTAGATTAACACCGGCCCCACCGTCATAATATCCTGCACGATCCACCCAAAAATATGTCGCATCTGGGGGGCTTTGTAGCCGTATCGACATGGGCGTTTGTGTTATTACTCTCACTGTGAAAACACAACGGCTATAATCCAAGAAAAGCATTTAAAGCATAAGTCTTGTCCTATATTCCGCCGTTGTGTCCTGCAGAAATAGTACCTACCTATATACTGATTGGGCTGGATGCCTACTGGATGAAGTAGCCAAACAAGCCGGCAGCTGCATTTGCACTCAGTTCTGCGCCTAACAAAACTCTCCAGTTAGCAGTACACCAATAGTAGGTGGCAATGAAAATGCACGCCAACTCGACTAGGTGTTAATTTCTCCCATGAGGCTAGATTGGTGGACCAAGGATGTGTTGCCTGGAACGACTGAGTTAGGGTCTGTTTTCGGGAACGATTAAGGACAGACCGCCGCCAACCCATACAGCAGCCGCTTATCCAGTACCTAACGTCATCACTCTTAACCACTCTGGCCCAGCCTGGCAAGACCAAACCTTTCTAATGGCAGCAAGAGTCACGCATAGGCATACCTATACAACTATACACACAACGCCAACAGCCTCCAAGGCCGTTGTATCAACAACGAGGATAGCGGAAACAAAGCGGTATGGGGGAGACGAGCGAGTAAACCTCTGAAGTAGCTATAGCCAGTTGCAGAGTTGGTCCCGATGAGAGACTTTCGGCGGCGCGGCCACGCACCCGAGAAATACTACAAGGAATAGGTTCTACAGCAAAAAAGGGAGTCACCGCAAAACAGGCACTGGTTAACCTTTTACACGCACGTACGAACATCGCCGACATTACTACGACTGCTAGCGCATCTAGGAAGAAGGAAAAGGCCAATTAAATGCGGAAGATGAAAAAGGAGGGGGGGGGGGGGGGGGCATAAGCAGAAGGCTAGACCTGTTTGACCCTACACACCTGCTGGGGGCCGCGCGGACGAGACGTGCAGTTATTCTTGCTGTTTATATCGAGGTAAACCACAAGTCATTACACGGCAACGATGGATTGTACTGCCATAAAGTAAGGCACATCCTTTAGCAGTTATTCCTAAGTACAAGTTGTACATTGCAATGCCATACTGCAGTGAGTGTGGAACCTCTCTGCCCACTGATCCGCGATAGTGGCGGAAAAGAACAAACAATGAACTCGCAAAGAGCAAGAGGGAAAAGTGGTAGGATTAAAGCAAATGGTCGAAACGGAATGAACTTTGAGGGACGTAGCAACTGCAAAAGGTTTCGTTCGTAGCATGCAATGCCAGAAGCTAGGTGAAGATCACTGCAGAAAACAAGCCTGTACGAGATGTAACAAGATGTAACTTGTATTGCGATCACTACTCCAACGATGTTATCTATCAGAGAATAGGTCCCACAGGAGACGGAAACTTCGACACGTCTACAAAGGCTACCCAACTAGAAAAATAGGAAAAAGAATACGTTGTCATGGTAGATTTAGGAACCGTAGATTGTTCTGCGCTTCTAACTATTAATGGACTCATTTATAATATTATAGCGTTTATTATGACCGTATCTTTGTACTTATATTCTGGTAGAAACAACCTCCCTGTCGTGTACTAACTGTATATTAACATGAATAAATGATAAAACGCAGCATGGCTGAATCGTAGCCACGCCGCTGAATGTACAATGGGATATTTACTAGCATCAATAGGTCCAGAATACGAAGTAGTTCACCTGTGACTCTGTGTTTGCACTGGTGTATTCTATCTCCAAGAAAGGCGTGCTTATGTTAAGCTGTTACGGTTAAATTTGGCGGATTTTGAAATTAAATGATTATTGGTTTATGGGTCGCTAGCGAGGACCAGACCAAAAAACGAGGTCGCATTGGAGGGTTCAGTGGCGGTGTCAACTGGATTTGGATGTAAGATTATGGTAGTACCTATAATGGACATAAAGAGCATCTACTACTAGGCGATATTCGCCGAAAATGAGACAACAAAAGCAGATCATTCTATCAAGTTTCTCAAAAGACTCATGACCCGTTGGCCCGGTAATTGTCTAATTAACTGATGCCTTTGCCATGCCTCGAATACTTCCTCAGTCGAACAATAAAATGTTCAACATCGGCTTGAATCCGCTTATTCTCCCAGTCGAAGCCCGTACGATTACGGGGCATTTTACAGCCTGCAAAGGTCTACTGGCGTGCAAGCGCGTCCCGTTATTGATTCAGTCTGAGACGTAATTAATATGAAAAAAATGCATGGAAGCGCGAGTGGGAAATATATATATGGCTGTTTACAAGCTTTTAGAGCATCGGAACATGTGCGCAAAGGCAATGAGAAGAAGCACCGGCATGTATTCAGAAAATCATCATTCCAACCCAGATAATTCAATTTTAAATTCCACCGAATTTTACTTGCGGCAGCCTAATATATGTATGTATTGAATTATAGTTCAGTTACCCGAAATTTTTCATTTTATAGATCATAAACCCGACATCTTGAATAACTACGATATGCTATGATGCTTAAAAAAATTCCAGCCATTGACAAATCGAACTGGCTAAAGGGCTCGAACGGGGTGGAATAAATGATACAGATAGAACAATGCGTAGAAATAGTTTATTGGAAATCCGTGAGAGTTTTAACGAAATCTGACTGAAAATTCGGCTGGAAAATTATAAAATCAGATCAGGGAACGTCGCACTCCAGATACAGCTGGGTATCATTTCTATAAGATCTTTACTAAAAGCCCTACCATTTTATTATCATTATTGATTGCACGCCTTATTTGTAATATAGAAAATTTCGCGCTCCCACAGTGGGGAAGCAGGCTCGAAAAAAGCGGCATTGAAGGCCACTTTTACCTGCAATAACGCTACGTAGTTGAGAGGCATCTATTCATTGTTAGTACAGCCGATTACCTGTCAAGTTGGAACGACGTATAATTTTTGCGTTTTTTTCTTGCTGGCTGTTCAACTGGGTCAAGTACGTCCTTCGTTGTATTACCGTGTAACTTTAATGGCCCATTAGCAGCCAGCGTAGTCCTTAAGCATGAAGAGAGCGATCATTGCGCCCGACTCAATCGGAGGGTAAGTGCTCGTATTAGATATACCTGGTGAGGGAAATAAAATATCTCGCGGATATGTAAGTATTAATGGTACACCGCAGTGTGCGCCATAATTAATGATCTATTTTCATACATTACTATACAACTATACGCACATGGCGAACCGTACATTTGACATGGCGTTCAGCAGTTAGTAAATTACGTAGATCAAACATCCTAGTTTTAACGTTGTCTGAGTCGGCTGCGTTTCGCCCTCACTCAACCGCTCCTAGACATTTTATTGTCGTAATTAATAGATTACATGTGCATTGCTAATGCATGGCTCTTCGTGTGCATTGTTCGACATTCGTTTGAGTGCTCTTTATACCTCTGCCCCCTTGATTTAAATCGAACCCGTCAAGCCAAAGACGTCTGTCTTCCAGCAAACACCGCTCGGAACTCTACTAGCGAGAGACGGTTACGATCCGAGATGACTTACGTGAAAAATCTCAGGTATAAGCTGTGAGCTTCGTTATGTTCGACCATGTAAAGAGCCAGCTTCTATCGTGTCTTCGCTCGAAGTCTCTATTCACCAGCACCAAACGAAACTAGTAGATGCGGGCGTACGTGCTTACGTGTCTGAGTGTGTCTTGCAGTGAAAAGCCTGCCGTGATGTCCTTTCGAGTAAGAGAGTCTGAGTGAACGTTTAAGCGGCAAAATTTTTGGTTTAAAACTAAGAAACCAGGCAGGAAAGCACCGAGGACACTTTAACACATGAAAGACAGTGCTCAATGGCAAAAATGTTGACAAGCAGACAAATAATAGTGCTGATCATCGCGCTAGTCGAAAGCTTCATTCTCAGTGCCCACTATGCTGTGTTTATGCCTTTCTATCCAAACGTGGCCAAGGACAAGGGAAACACGCCATCAGAGGTGAGACTAGGGATACTTAAATGGCACAAAACTTCCAGTGTTATCAGCTGCGCACTAAATTTCTACAGTAATTATAGGAGCAGCTAAATGTTTCTTATTATTTGTTCTATAAATTTTGATCTGCTTTGACATCGAAACGTATTAGCCAGTAAGCTTCATATATGCCATATAGGAAATTTAGCAATCTGAGTAAACAATAAGTAGCACCATGTTGACAAATCAGCTTGGATGTTGTCGAACCGGCTCTGCATATATTGCCTTTCGGTTATTTTCATTACTACATTTTTTCCATTTCATCTAACGACATCTCACCTACCTGCTGCGCATTGCTCATGTGTACGAGGCACGCAAGATGGCGATCTTGTTATTGGGTTCCAGCGAATCCTGTTAAACACAGACGAATCTTACCGGATTTCGTCTATGAGCAGAAGCTAGAAAAGGACATGAGACGATTCGCACATTTAGATTGCACTTAGATTGATGCAGAACATATGAGCACTTCCAAAAGGGCACTGCCGTGACGAAAAATACGATTACATAGTCTCGAATAGTTTAAACTTGGGCACATACGTTAGTAATACATTTTGTCTATTACGATCATTATTTGCACTATCGTGCATTGAGAAATCAAAATGTAAGTATTGCCGCTAAAATCTAGTAGACTATCATGTAACCAATTGCTAACCCCACGTACGGGGGTTGGCTTCGAACGATCTTTTTGGAACGAGCGATTTGGAACTTTGTAGTTCTGTCGTGCTAGTTCGGTGAATCCGTAGGTAACTTCTATGAAAGCCAAATATCGTTTCAAGTCGGCACTGGTATAATCTAACATGGCTCAGTAGTTCAGGCCATAACATGAATTCAAGTTAAGTTTGAAACGAGGACAGAATTAGAATAAAATAAAAATGCCAGGCATGTATGCGACAGATAAAAGTTGGTACCCGATAGTTAAAACATATGTCTATATAAGCTCCATCCTGTGTATAGGTAGCTGACACACCTAACCTTGGCGTTCGGGCTTGTTACTTGGCCTTAAACTTTCGATGATTTGCTTTTTGGTCGGCTTTCAGATAGGAGCGTTCTTCGCTGTGGGTTCATTTGTGGGATTGGTTGGAGCTCCGGTCGCAGGATGGTTTCTCAAACAGGGTGTATCGCCTAAGAAAATGGTGATCTTTGGATTACTGCTTAGTGGTGTATTCTTAACTGTCCACGGATTACACATAAACTTATTTTCAAAAAGTAGCGATTTTTTCTATGCAAACGCAGTCACCCGGGTAATTCATGCGATTGGTCCTCTCGCAGCTACAACAGCAATTTATCCGATCGTTGCTGTCGAGATGGATGATCAGAAAGGCGTTTATATCCCGTTACTTGAAGCCGCTTATAATATGGGTCTCATGATTTGGCCAAGCATTGGGGCGATAATGTTTGATAACTTCGGCTATATGTTCCCTTTTTTCTCTGTCGGACTTTGCGCGATCATCATGGGTCTCATCGTAGCGGTCCTAATGCCTTCTCCAAAAAACACTACGGATGATGAGGAACAGGTTGGTTGGTCTTCAGCTCTTGTCGCCTGAATGTAAGAAACTCTAAAATGGGCTCCATTTTTATGGGCTTTTTGAAGTTGCTTAAGAAAGGCTAGATCATTGCTGATCCCATTTTTGTAAATATGTTATTTCTCTTTTGCAACATTATAAAAATCGAGTTGTTTTTCTTCACAAATATGTTCACTTAAATATCGATAATCTAATTCGAAAACTTCGCTTGAGTCCACAGATAAAATTGTATAATTAAAACATGTAGGTTATACATATCGCGTCAACGCATCACATATAGATAATGTAGTTCTTGCTTAACTCAATTGAGTTATTTAACTAAATGTAAGTCATTTATTTTTTATTGTATTTCTGATACTTTTCTTTCAGATCGGTTTTGATAAGATCGATTGCACCCTATTACTGATCCTAACAAACATCGGTGTCTGTTATCTCACTATTGGTTTTAACGATATCACGCTCTCAACCGAACTGAAAGCTGCCTTCGATTTAACGCACACTCAGGTTGGCTACTGCTTTGCGGTGTCTACTATCTGCTATGGAGTATGCATTTACCTTTGGGGTTTAGCTGTCGCTAATCCTAAGGGGAGATGTATTTCTCAGGGAACCTGCTACGTTCTATCGATGGTGGGCCTGTTCCTAATGGAACCTTGTCAGTTCATCGGGTTCGAACCAACTCTATTGGTGCGCCTGGCTGGCCAGGCCGCGATGGGCATCGGTTTAGCTGGCCTGTTTACCGCATCTCTTGTATCTGGCATGGCATACCTAACAGAGGAGCTACTGTTGCCAGACAACGTTGCGACACACGGTTTCTTCTCGGGCTTAATCTTTTTTTCACTTTGTGGTGGATATCTGATAGGACAAGGCGTATTTGCGGGAGTTATCATTGATATGGTTGGATACAATTCTGCTGTAATATTTATTACCGGTACAATTGGTTTCGTGTTTATAATCGATGTCCTATTCAAAATTGGGCGCTGCTGCACCCGTTCCAGAAGGCTAAACTATAAGAGGATCGGATCTGATTCAAAGGACACTGAACGTCACACAGTGCACAATACCTGAGCCTAAAATATCTACCAAACAAATTGTACCTTTCTCTTAAGCTAAATACAATATAGTAATTATCGAACGGACCTAGGTTAGCCATTGCAGCATTATGTTTCCAAACTACCAATTAAGATTTTTAACTTGACGAAAAAATTTAGCTGAATAATGCATTTACGGTATGTATATGTACAAAAAAGCACAGTCAATTAATCTGCTAGCAAAAAAAAAACGAGACAAGCACCTACTGTAAACAATTTATATATATTTTTAAAGGACATTTTAAAAAGCAATTTATCTTAAGCATTATCACTTAAATTGACTAAAGAAAATATATACAGAATAGTTCATCGCATATGGCTGTCGTTTTTACTTTATCAATAAACATAAAAATTAAGCATTTTTAGCAGATTATTCGGAAAGTAAGTAAGTACTTTTTGATCCTCTTTTAGCGTCAATATTGCTATAAAATAGGAATCTGGCTTCCACAGAATTTCTAGACGATACAGCAAATTCATTTAATGGCCTAAAAGTTAGTTAGGCACATACAAATTGTAAGTTCAGTTATTTTCTTGTAGTAAAAGTCCTATAAATGTAATTATAAACCAGCTCTATATATTAAAACCAGCTCACAATCTACTCATAGGACTTTCTGAATTAAAACTTTACGATATAGAGACACTCGAACGGAGTCAACGAAACTATCCCTTTTCGAAACCTGCCCATAATTTCAAGCATGAACGTATCGTCCACAGACACGTATCAATAAAACTTATTCTAAATTCACATAAATCATTTTGGTTAGGTTAAAAATAGTTAAACGTCCTCTGAGAAGATGTCGTCAACCCGCCTACTTCGTATTGACAGAATGAAATAGGAAGTGTTTGTTTTCAATTCTGAATGCAGGAAAGGCTTAATTTAACACTCGAATTTCTCGAAATCGTCTACGTTCGATCTTTGTCAGTACTTTCTTGTCAAAGTAGTGTTGTAATATCAATAACTTAGACGAAAAACTTCTACAAAGAAGCCCCTGTAGTTTACTCGCTTTTGTCTTACCTTCCTGACTACCCGTTTTACCTGATCTGTCAAGTTCAGGCTACAATACAATGGTTTGCCAAACCAAAGAGAAAACGAATGTGCTGTAAGGATCCTGCCCATAGAAAAACAGATCTTGAAAACAGCGCAGCTGATAACATCTCGTGGTGGATTTAACACCTAGATGAAGCTAAGTCTAACGAAAATGAAAAGTAAAGGCTCTTCTATGATATACGCGTACACGACTGTGAAACTTAAAAGTCTGCTATATAGAATTGGAGTTGGTATCGGTTGGATGTAGCAGTTACACATTTCAATGAAAAGTAAAGCAAGCCGATCCGCCATTTTGTAGAATCCTGTTAGATCTTAGTTTATGCTTAATAGTAAATAATATTACTCTCGTAAAAGATTATGGTCGATGTTTGGAAGGGGGTCGTGCAGTCGAAGGGTGTATCGGCGGAAATTCTGATTAGGCATAACTATCCGTAAGCTTTTATCTTGAGTATATTTCGTATGTTCGCAAAGATGATTTGGCTTCTGTTTCAACTCTTGTGCTAAACTTTTCTTTCTAATCTTCAGTAACTACATGGAACTCCTTTAGCCTTTGATAAATACATAAAACCAACTAAATGTATACACAGAAGCAAAACAGAAACGCGAAATATTTATTGATCAGCAATGCAACCACAATAACATAGCACGCCAACGCTCGAATCATTAAAGCCTGTTTGTCGGTGTGAAAACTGGATGGTGTATCGTCTGCCGATACTACAATATTATATAATATTGAACTCAGTGGTGTTGCAAACAATACAGCGTATCAGGGCCATGGGAAACGTACTCTACTAGTATCAGTCGAACTTGACAGCTCCCCGAGCGACAATTTTTGAGGCCGGCGAAACCCGCCGCGCCGAATTTTCGACAACGAAAACTGAAGTTCTGTCGGGCGGAGGCTGATGCGGCCGTTTTACACAGTAACGTTGGAGAAAGGAAGAAACGCAGACCGGCATCGATTCGCATAACAAGAAAGACTAACGGGTTCCATAAGTAGTTTCGGCTGTAATCAATTCGATACTCATTAATCTGTAGACGCAAAGCAGAAAACCCGACTGTCTGATTTACTATTATCGTAAAGATGAAGCTAATTCGTGTACCGTAATTCAAGCACGGGTGCCACTACAGGTGTCGTTCGTGTTGTAGTATTGCCAGATCCTGGTTGATTACTAGGTCGCGGTAATTATATGAACATTAAGGCTTATTGCTAGCCTTATAGAAGAAGAAAACGAATGTAGTAGAATTTACGATACTAGTTCACTATCATATACGAGCGTTTTTCGTTAGTTAAGGCACGATTCCGTACTTGAATCGTGGAGTTTATCACCTTCATACAAACAATCTAGTCGATTATTCACAGATACTTCGCTTATAAGAGATGTGTTCAACGTCTATGTTGTTGTGCCTGATTGGTAGGCCACCCAAAGAAAAATTGGAACGTAAGACATTTCAAATCAATTGAATTAGATAATCGTGACATGAATGATTGTGCCGCCTCTATTTAGCTAGGTCTTGGACGCCCGGCAATTTTTGTTCCAATGCCTCCACCAGGTTTGAGTGATTGTGACAAAAGCGCGAAACTAACGGTGACTGCGTATATAAACTAAATTCACGGATATACAAAAACAGTTGAAATAGAAATATTGTTGATAAACATGCTCATGTTTGATGTGAAGGCAAATATAAATAAATATACTAGATATAACTGGGCATAACGCATCACAGCGCTTATATATACATCTTACAGCGGTAAAAATGCTTTCTACGCTGGCCGGCTGTTCGTGAAGAGGGCCAAGCCAAGAAATGGGTCCCAGAAGCCAAAGCTTAGGTGCAGTCGGTATCCTAATGCCCGACAACTTGTCAACTGAAGGTTTATATATATATATAAAACACAAATCAGTTGATGAAAACTAGACTACAACAATGAGGCCTACTGAATGTTATACTAAGCAGTGATTGGAACGCCGAAATTTCGGCTTTCTCAGAGAATGATGATCCTGCGAGAGTCTCCTACAATAATTCGCGCTCAAAGTGGAGCTAGCCACAATAAATATAGTGGGTGGAAGGAAGGAAATACGCCACAGAACTATATGTCAGGCTACGCACCGTACAGGAGCAAACGATTTAATACGGCGAGGAATATGCTAGTCCGCTACCATATTCGTAATATACATAATAGAAGATCATGCGACATATACCTCAGAAATTTACAGAACCGACCAGAAAAAGAAAAACGCATAATTCTAAGGGGGACTATAAGACGAAATCTGAATGCTGCACCCCAACCTGCGCCACTAACCCAAGGAGGTAAAGTAAGCAATCAATTTATCAAACAACTACAACAGGTTACAAGCTAGTACAATCGTTTATTGGCTAAGCAGGCTTAAACCATACCTAGTCCCATCTGAGCGACAAGCACCCGTACTCAAAAACTAACTTACCCATATTTTTTGCATAGCGAAACAGGCGAAAGCTTCCTATCGTCCAACGTACGCACTCAGGCTAAACCATCGTCAGCCAAAGGCAGTAACTGTAGAAAATAGTTACGAACGCCAAGTACCTCCCAACGACACTTAGCCCAAATGCATATCCTAAGTGTATATTAATGCCAGTGAAAAAAGAAGAACACACTCAACTCCTGGAAGGATAATGCTGGAATACGAACGAATAAACAGGAAATCCTGTTGATAGTGCGAAGAAAAGACACCGACAGGAGTAAGCGCGATGTTTTCAACCGACTCAGATAAGCTAAGGCAGCTGAGATACGCATACGTAGCAAACCAATTCAATGATGTCCTAGCTAGAAGGGGTAAAATTATGTGCGAGTCGGCGAAGAGCAGCGTACCGCTAATGGTGAAAAGTCAGTGCAGATCAGGACCTCCACAAGCTACCAATGCATGAGAATATTCGCTGCCCTACATAGGTTAAAGGCAAAGCTGAAGTAAAGCACAATAAACGCAGGGACAGAGGAAAATGAAATAAGGAGGAACAGGTGAAATTGTAATATATACGTTAAATATAAACCAAAACATATCTTCGTTGATGCTACTGAAGCACGCGACTAGACGCATACGACAGGAACCCTGCATGAAATGCAGCTGCTACACGAATCATCGCGGTTTGTATGACAAAACAGCCCGATCCTAAGCGACGAAGACCCAGTTTTTTTAAAGCTTCAAAGTGTTCGATATAATTGTTCTTTTTTAAGGAATTATGATTGAGCTGATGAATTTTGTGAACGACATAATCACTATGTTCGCTTTGTCTAAATAGATTAATGTATGTATGGCTTTCGGTTTGCTTCATGAATGCGTGCAGGAGAGTCCATTGTCGAGATGGTTTGTTCTGCATTGAAAACTCAGAGCATACGTAGTTAAGACATTTGGTATACGAGGACACATTTGACATGGCCTTAAGTAACTTTAAGGCTTAATATTTGATATTCAACTACCTGACCTTCGAGAAAAATTACTGCTCACGGCAAAATGATTACTTTTCTATTCTTTAAACCCAGTTTTCTACCTGAGTAGATAAACCCCGCGTGCTCGTCCGCGTGGGCAGGTTCATTTGAAGACGCCATACTCCCAAGGGGAGTATGTTTACCCCGTTTAGCATCATGCGAGTCATTCAATTTCTTTCTATTCATTTTGATTGACGAAGACCAATGTGTGATCAGCGCGTAAATAATCTGAGAAAAAATGACCTTCTTTTTAATGCAGCTCAGCCATACACGTGGTTTACTTTGCAACGTTGAAATGGAATTAGCTTCGTTTTTTGCTACAGTCTTCAAAAATATCTCAGCAAGACCCTTTTAGCCACAACGAAAAAAACACCTGTTCGAACAACAACATATAAGTGGTAAAAGGTCTTCGTATACTTAATACCTTTTTATACACTGTTGTCTCGTGCTCGCACTCGATCTGCTCTTGCAACATTCTTAACAGCAAAGCAGATCAACAAGGATTTGTTTTTTTGGGGGTACTCACTAGAACCGACCAATTATAATCTCTGCAGAAACCAAAGCTACCATGATTGCCAGCATTGACGGGTAGCTCATTGTTGCCATGTGGCTGGCTTTATTCGCTCGCTTAACGCGACGTCGTCCTAACGCTCGATGCTATTTACGAACGAGCTCTTACTAATTTGGAGATAGGAATAATGAGCTTGGCGAAGATCATTTGCAACTGATATATATATATGAAGTTCAAAAGTCTACCGGGCTGTCGTAACATTATAGAAAATTCTTACAATGACCGCAAGCGAGGGCGGGGATAGATAGGCAAGTCGATAGACCTACTCTAACATCGAAGAATATACTCTAACATCAAGGCAAGAACAGATGGCAATTGCCGTTAGCCATTATGAATTATAATAACGGCAAACGAGATTTTCGGGTTGGCGCAAGGCTATCGCACAGAGGCGGAAGATAAGAAACGCGCCGGGCCTAGCAGCCGAGCGAAGCCGCGATTCAAAATTATCGAAGATGCAATCAGGGTTATGCTTAGGTGCATACGTTCGAGAAGGAGGTACTTCGAATCTTTCTATGGGACGAACACATCGCTTCAGCCAACGTCCACTTGACGGACCGATTGTTATTAAAGTAAAATAGGTTCTGGGGGGTCATACCTCCATCCACGACAGGCCCTCGACGACAGCGACAAAGTAAGTTATATACGTAATGTTGCTTCGAAAATATCGTTGTCGGTTAACTAAGGTGGATCTGCTGAACGAGTTTGGCCCGTGCACTCAATATTGAATGTCGCAATTAGTATAAGTAAGCACGTATAATAATAGTAAAAATTCGGCGACAGAAGACGGTAAGATGGTTATAATACGTAATGCTTCCACGGTAGTCCTAGCAACACTGGATGGACAAGGAATAACACGATAGCTGTCCGTCATTGATAAAGTCGACCTGCATACATAACAACATTTGAATGAATGAAAATTATAAAAAAAGTTATAACAAATCGAATGTAAATATGCTATTAGTACTATTCTGATAAATAGCTGAGACTCTTCTGTTCAACGACGTCTCTCTTCTATGATATCGAAAACAAAGCCAGCAAAGCAGACGCTTACTTACGTTTTGTGTTGTCGGAATAGACGCGGTCGAAGTCTAGCTATCCATGAATGACGCGCGTCCTTCTAACGAATTGCGAACGAGTGGCAATCATTGAATGCGGAACACAGCAAAACAGGCAATGGCCGCCATAATTGTTCGACAATGCCAAAACGCCCCAGGTGAGAGCGTTAAAAGTAGGCGCGTCGCTGCTGTAAGCCACAGGGAAAAAAGGGGAGTAACGATAATTCTTGAATCGTCATATGAATAGCCATCGGTTACAGCCTCAGTGAGTTTATACTCAATAAACTCGAATTGTAGGTTTAAATCAAGAGAGGTTTGTTTGTATTAATATTATTTAAGTGGTAATGCCACCGCCAAGATTAAAGTCAAGGCCGGCCCTGTGTAGTTCGTACGTAGACAAACATTTAAAGCGGTTTGGCCCGTGTTTGCGCGCGAAAACTTAACCTGTGTTCGTGCAGTGCGTTATCTTTGTTTTAAAAATCTACATAAACTCTAACAAAACTTTGTGTACATTTTAATGAATGAAAAATGGTCGTTAGGGAATAGCCAATTAGAAGCAATAGACACTCCATTAACGTTATACCCCTTCACATATGGCCATTGTTATAAATCCTAGCTACCATAATTTGTAACATTAAAGCATAAGTATTTTTGATGCGATTTGAAGAACTGCGCGCAGCGTCCACAAGGCTTCTGCTAAAATACAATAATATATCCATGAAAAATAATTTTCCCAGTGAGCCAAGAATGCATTGTACCTTGATTAGCTAAAACTAAAGGATATGTTTAACTAAATACACGTATTCGTTAGTGTATATGGGGTCAATATACCAACGCTTTATTTCCTATCTCTCTCCCCAAAAAAAAAACAACAATCAAAGATCTTGATTATACTAAGAAAGAACATTCATGCACTAACGGCACACTCCCCGCGGGGGTACAAAATATGCGAGCAACTTTCCTTTCGCATCGTATCTTATTAATAGTTTTTTACTTAAAGTGCAATTTTTTCTACTAAGTTAAAAAGTTGAAATATTATTAAGTTGATACATAAGCACAATTGAAGAAGCACGCAGTTGGCGTTCGCATCGGCTGTCGAAAGTTCCTGACAGCCTAAGCCACACTCCGATCAATAGTAAATAATTCTCCGAAGGAAAACTTGTCGTAACTTCGCTGCAGAGTTACATTTGCTGAACAGGTCAGCACTATCTGTATTTATGAAGGAATATGTTCGTTTAGCAGCGGAGTAGAGCGGTAGAGAAGCCCGTTTGATACGATGTACCTGTAGGTGTCGGCCTGTTGTCTGAAGCGGTCTGGTCGGCCTTCGCACGTCTCTAGCCTAAAAAATCTACAATTGATCCTTGAATCAAAAGACCGCTTGCCCCTTTTAAATTTGCTTATTCAAGTTTATACATGCGGATGTCTTTGCAGAACGAAAGTCTAGACGATTGGAAATTTATGAAAAATTAAATAGACGCAAATGTACGGGCGAAAACTTAGTCATTGAATGAATGATAACAAGTGTTCAACGTTGTAGATAAATGCTGGAAACATCAAGCACCGTTCTGCTAGTAATTTGGGGAGGGTTAAAGTAGAGCTGCTCGTGTGAATTTCAGTGCAACAGTATAAACCCTGTATTTTTCGCTGGGCAGGATTAACGTCAAAAATCATCATTAATAAATGTCATTCAGGCAATACTGATGATTGATATGATACTTTAAAAGGCCATTCGATTGGTGGCGTTAGTCTCCTATAAGGCATATAGCATTGTCAACAGTAAATTAGTATAGTCATTAAATTTTGAGCCGCTATCAACCGTTTTACGCGGGGATGATCAATTTAGAGATGTTATAGTTAAAGTTATGTACACGAGGCTTAGTAGACGAGGCAAGAGAAGTCAATTCTAGGAAAAGATGACCTACGACAAACGACTACCTAAATTTCCGCTGTGCCAAGTAAAAATAACCGAAGAATATTTATTCAATTATACAAAGGGCAGTTAATTGCTTATGCGGCAGGCTTTCGGTTGCCAGGACTGCAGAATGAGTGAAGATCAATCTAGGGGGGGACTAAACTAATCTTTCGTGAATTAGAAGCACGTTATGAGAATATAGAACGAGTAGTACTTATTTCATAGCCCAAGCATCTAACGCTAGTATAGGTTGACAATATAGGGTTCATATAACGACTTCGGTAATACATTGCGTACAACTAAGTAGTTTTCGTTGTTTCGAAGAGATATTTACGGCACTGAAAGTGCAGTTAATACCAACGAAAAATTGATCTTTTTCTAGATGAAACGCGTTCTAATCAAATGTAGGCCATCGTTACGGTGCGCCTTAAATGAACATATTTAAGTCGTAGTGGATGGGTCTCAAAGGGTCATGTGGCACTATTCGACAATAAAATACAGGAAAGACCGACGGTTAATAATAAAGCAACACTCAGCAACGTTAGATGAGAGGATTCTGTGATGCACACATAAATCTTATTGGCACAAGTTTTATAACCCTAATTGTAATGTTCTATGAAATAAAGGCCGTCACGAAACACCCCCAATAATGACAAAAGGATTTGAATGATTCGACCGTGCGATGGAAGAATTCTCAATCGTTGGAATCATACGCTGTGTTGAAGTAATCTACTGATTTATCCCGTGTGAGTCCTACTTAATGTTTATTTATTATTTATTACAACGGAAAAAAACGGTGCCTCTATCACTTCCAAGGAGAATTAAAAGCGAATACTTGCCAGAGAAGCTATAGACTAATAGAGAGCATAGCCTATGTTCGTACTGGAAGACATTCGGAAGCATTTGGGATAACGAAGAGATTTGCCATTGCGATCGCGAGAAGCAAAATGGTTTATGATTACATTCCCACATGACAACTTCCTTAGATAAGATCGTTAACATGTCTCGCGCTTAAGGTTGGATATACCTCTGCTATCAGCAATTCAAAGGTCCGTCTCCCGTCAAACCGCAATCGTATCAGTAGAATACGGGACCATCTCTACGGAATTGACCGCCAACTCGGATTCAGTTTTCTTCGGGATTCCACAAGGCTCTGTCCTTGGTTCAGCTATCGCTATAGTGCCGCACGAGGTTCAGTCTACAAGTTGCGGCACGCTTTTGGTATTCTGTTACACAAGCAACTTTTTCATTAGCCCTTGCCCTTGTAATTCAAAGTAAAGGTCCTAAACATGTACAGCTGGAGATGCACTGAAATGCTATAATCAAACCTTTGTCTTCTTGAAAGGAAACTGATCGAACGATATGAAAAGGCTTTTGAAAGAGTAGGTGAAGGATGAATGATCAGATGATAGTTTGTCATTTCGTAAACTACTATGTGGCCTATCCATTTTATTACGCTTGCGCTAAAGCCTAACATGCGTTGCTGAGTTATATAAAAACTGTGCAGGGGCCACGTACCAGTCCCTCTCAATATTATCAGAGGTTACGAAAGGGTGAGTGTACAATGCAAAGTTTATTTTGGTCAAAACATTATCAAAGGTCTCACAATATATTTACATAGGGCGGGCTCTTCATGAAACAATTTTGCCATTTCCTATGAAAAGGAGTTGCAAGCAGTATCCATCCAGTGCTACTTCTAAATCGCTCATTGACACACCATGCAGATCATTCCTATAACTTTATGAATTTGCAAAGAGAGTGGTCCTGATGCAACTTACGCAACCTGCTTGTGGAGAGATACAATGCTGCGTATTTTAGAAAACACTGTTGGACACCCTGTATAACAATTAATTAATAAATTGAGGACCATATTTATGTAAAAATTGGCTTCTTATGTATATGGCGCGCGCGTCAGTCAATATCTGCTTCCTTAAAAATAAAACCTGCTTATTTTGAAAAGAATATATACTTCCTTATACTTTACTCTTGGAAACGTGAATCGCTTTGTATAGATCAAGTCTGCGTTCTGAGAGCCGTCCACACTCATGCGTTTTTGTTGCCCACAAAAAATCGTTTAGTCTTCAAAGTGAGTTTTTAGACACCAATTTTAATCTGTTTGAACTAACCTTCTGCGTCCCAGGCATTATGAACGTCTGCCATGTCGTCGACATATTAGACATTGCAGCAGAAGCCCCTGTTAGCTCTATCTGTTTTTGCCTCCGTTACGCTAGGCTAGAAACGAGCCTAGCAAACCTCCTCTAGGGATTTGTCACCTTCGGAACAGACGCGGCAGAACTTGTTCTGTTTTGGGCAGAGACACGTGGCGGAAATCAAAGAGCTATGGAAAATCGGTCATGCGTGACCGTTTCTCTTTTCTGGTAACTCTGGAAAAATATAGCTTATCCTTTCAGGCATCTGAAAAGTTAGGTAAGCTGGCTGGCCATAAGGGCACAACAAACAACGGATAGTGATATATGGGGTTGCGTCTGGACGGTGCAGCCATAATGGATGTGGCGACGTCCTTTTTGTGGAAGCTACTGTCGAACCTCGCGATATCTCGGGGGACTCTATACAGCAGCGCGAAGAAACGTGGAGGCAAAGCGGATCATTTACATGAGCTAACGAGTATGCGACTACCCATCGTTGCCATTGTTGTGTCCTGTTTCCGCGTAAGTGGTCTCGTTGAAATGAGCATTATTTACGCGTAAATATGGAAATAATGTTTTATTTCTTTGCGATCGAGTGCATGGCACGAACATGTCTTATATTATATATGCACACGCCTGCTATTTTCATTAGGCCTCTGTAGTCAGCTCTTTAGCCTAGTAAACCGTAATGCACGTTTGCAGTACGTTCAAGTGAAGGGAGTTTAAAAAAATGTTTACGTTCTTTTAAAACCCAAAAATGCATTCTATTATTGGATTAACCCAATGAGTATGCATAAAAGAACAAACCACATATTGGATTTGTATGTTAATGAAAAAAACGCATGATTGAGCCGAGATATGTTTAACAGTAAATGGTGCACGGCTGCAAATAGTTTTAAGTTAGTTTCCAACTGAGTTGTGTTAACCAAGAAATTGATATAATAAATATTTTTTTCAACTTCTACAAACACACAGAAGCAAAATCAATGGTACTAACAATAATAATAATCATACTCTTTACTTAATCTTCTGTATCAAGTATGTAATACCTCTAGTAAGTGGTAACCCAGCGGAAAAAGCAAAATGGGCATTTCTTTGTGTGCATTATTACAGCGGCCGTTCAGAGTAATAAGAGGCTGTTGACGGATGCTGTGC